TTCCTTCCTTCCTTCCTTCCTTCCTTCCTTCCTTCCTTCCTTCCTTCTTACATTCATTTATTTGCTTTGTCTAAGGCCTCAGCATCCTTGTGAGGTTAAAGGACAGCTCGTGGGGGTCAGGTCTATCATTCCACCATGTGGGACCTTGGCTTTGAATTCAGGTTGCCATGCTTGGCACCAAATACCCTCATCAGCTGAGCCATCTCACTGGCCTGAGTTTTCTGCTTGTAGGGAGCAAAGTTTACAAATGTCCTGTGTGCTTCCAAGTAGGTTGTATCCCATATTGTGGGAAAGAAAGATCTGGAAAAACAAAACAAGGAAGAGGTAGGCCTATAATCCCAGGTACTCCCGAGGCTGAGGAAAGAGGATAAGTTGAAAGACCTGCCTGGGCTACAAAGGGGGTTCAAGGTCAGCTTGGGCAGCTTTGTGAATCTTTGTCTCCAAAATTAAAGGCATGTCTGGGGATATAGCTCAATGGCCGAGCGCTTGTCTATCTGTGTGAGGCCTTAGGGTCAATCCCAGTGCCACAATCAAACAGAAGACCCTTGAAAACACACAGTAGGACTAAGCAATAGCCATTCTGAATAACAAGCCATAGAGTGTGGTTGGATTCAAACACACAGCAAGTGGTGACCTGCCTCTGAGGAAAGGCATCTGTGATCAATGAACAGCAATGTGTGAGATGTGCCAGACCACAGTGGGAGGCAGAAAGGCCAGCGAGGAGATCTGAGATGCTTTTACCCTGCATCCTCATGACCTTGTGGACCTGTTACTTTCTACACTAATATCTGAAAGAAAGAAAAAGCCCTAACCTGACAATTCGTTAGGAAACCACAGAAGAATGTACATGTTTGCCAAACAAGTGGGTTTTCTTTCCAGCTCCCAGACTGGCTCTCTCCTTGACGCTGATGGCTGCCTGTATCAATGACACCAAGAACAGGAAACACCCAGTTCACCCACACCCATTCCCCTGGAAACGGCACAGGACTGATGAATCTGGTTTCTTAATCTTTTCAAGGTCATTTCCCAGTGTGGCTGGCTCTGCTGAACCCCCTCAATGCCTGGAGATCTCTAATCACTGTCTCTTAGGACAGAGAGGCTCTGGGAAGTTTCTAGGGTCACCTGGGTGGTAGGCACACTGCCACCTCTGCTCTCATCCACACCACCGGAAGCACCTCACAGCACACAGCTGGGATACCACAGGTGGAACGAGGCAACGCACAGGGGGGACAAACCCCTCTGGAAGAATGGAGTCAGGTGACTGAGCTGTGTGGTTTAACACAGACCATTGTTCAACATGGCGAGGGGAGCGCCCCAGATCTTCACGTGCACACAGCTCATTCTGATCAGATCCTCTCATCTCTCAGTTACCGTAACCTGATCGCTGCAGATGGTTATCAGTCACCTGCAGACCGGATGACTCAATGTGTATGAAACTCCGAAGGGGTAGGCTACAGTAATTGAAAAGCCAATGGCTCACGTTTCTTTAGTAACACACTCATAAAAAAGGTTAGGCAAACCACAAGAGTATAACTGCTTCCAAGGCGGCTCATAGAGATTTTCTTCTGATGAAGACGCAAATGGTCCTGAATGCAGACCTAGAGCTGTCTGGTTGAGCCACTCGTTCTTCATCAAAGTTGGCTAACCTATATTTTGGTATTTCTCAAGTGAGCGACTGCACACTTGTATTGAAGCAACAGGAACATGGTTATTGGAATCCTAGAATCCCAGACTGGGCCACAGACTTAGCGAGCTCTGTCCTCAGGTCAAGATCCACTATTTATTATATATAAGATGCTGATGCTAACGCTAAAGCGACTTTTATTGCGGCCGTACAGTACTGAGCTTTGTGCCACAGACTTAGCCCATGGCCACACTATCAGCCCTTCAAGGCTGAAAGCTTTTAAGGTGGATTACTGTCTCGGACAGGAGAGGAGCTGAGAGCTCAAACAAAGTGCTGCACATTTTCCAAGGTTGTCCATGGTGACTGGAGAGCCAGGTTGCAATTCAAGAGTCACGTCTTAGCACATGCTGGATGCTTTCTTGCTCATGGTGGCTCAGCCCTCCACAGACAGTGACTTCAGACACTCTGCTGGGATGTTCTCATAGACGGGGCAGAGGGCCTAGAGGCAGCAACCGGCTCTTTGATTTTAAATTCTCACAATCATCAGCATGTATCAGAGGTGGAGGAGGCGACTGCAGCCACAGCAAAGGGTAGAAGACTGCACTGGTCTGAAGTGCAGAGTGAGAATGGGCACGGGGAGGAGCAGGACCAGGGATGTGGGAGGAGCAGGACCAGGGATGTGGGAGGAGCAGGACCAGGGATGTGGGAGGGAGAGCATCCAGACATGGAAACAGTGAAGGAAGAGCCCTGTGGGGGTGGGGGTGGGGGGTAGGGAGGCTGAGGCTGGGGCTGGGCAGAGGCCAGCGGGCTGCACTGCTAGGCCAGGAGAGGCAAGTTCCTGGGATTCTACTCTACTGGGAGCAACTTATCAGGGCTTTATTATCTAAAGAGGAAGGCAAAAATGATTTGATCTCCAGAAAAACTGCAAACCCACTATTACAATCAATGCTGGACAATGGAAATATATGGGTTTATTTGAGTCTTGAAGTTCCTCAGGTCACTTAAGTGTGTTTCTTGCTGCTTCCTATTATGTACCATGGCTGTTTGACTCGCTTTACTGCAAGCACATGTGAAGAAGGAAAGGGGGAGGGAGGAAGGTAGGGAGGGAAGAAGGGAGGAAGGAAGGGAGGGAGGGAGAGAGGAAAGAAGGAAGGGAGAGAGGGAGAAAGGAGGGTCAGATAAGCAAGAAAAATGGGGACCTCAGTGGTTGTAATGATTCTGATTTCAACTTCAGGAAGACTGGAGTTACTAACACTCTCTTCAGACAGGGAGTCAGGCAGCAGCAGGAAGGGGAGTGTAAACACTGACTAGGAGGTGACCTGAGTGGGAGACCACAGCTGCTGCCCAGGTCTTTGTCATCTGTGACACACTGCTTGGATATAAGGACTCGCAGGCAGCCAAGACAGCTCTTCACTCTGGACACAGAACAGCTGCCGTTAGGGCTTCCCTGCCACCAGCTCTTGGGGACCAGATTTCTGGCTGCCCAAAGCTCCCTCCGCACATGTACCATGACCTCCTGGGGAGGTCACCCCTGGCAGCAGCAGCAGCAGCAGCAGCAGCAGCAGCAGCAGCAGCATCAAGCTGACCTGGGTCTGGCCCTGCTTTGTTTAGCTCTGTCTCCCCAGTGCTCGCATTTTCTTTCCTTCCTGAGTCTAAGGACTTCTCTGCAGGTTCCCAACATTCTTTTTTTTTTTTAAAGATTTATTTATTTATTATATATGAATACACTGTAGCTGTCTTCAGACACACCAGAAGAGGGCATCAGATCTCATTACAGATGGTTGTGAGCCACCATGTGGTTGCTGGGATTTGAACTCAGGACCTCTGGAAGTGCAGTCAGTGCTCTTAACCACTGAGCCATCTCTCCAGCCCCGGTTCCCAACATTCTTAGAATGTAACTTAACTAAGAACATCTTAATGTCTCTGGAACCAGGGACATAGGGACTCTGGAAAGGGGCCTCTTTAACAGGTGTTAAAACTGCTCCCTGCCGCCGGGCCGTGGTGGCGCACGCCTTTAATCCCAGCACTTGGGAGGCAGAGGCAGGCGGATTTCTGAGTTCGAGGCCAGCCTGGACTACCCTGTGAGTTCCAGGACAGCCAGGGCTACACAGAGAAACCCTGTCTCGAAAAACCAAAAAAAAAAAAAAAAAAAACTGCTCCCTGCTTCTG